TCCTAAATTTGTTACATTTTTTCATATAGTGCCTACATGTGTATGTAGACTGCTGCACTTGTTACACTGCCTCATGTGTATGAGGCAGTGAACCAAGGGTTACAGCACACAATTTTGAACTGAACACAATTCAACCAACCCTAAGGCAACACACTACTAAATATTGCTTTAGCAGGCCTTCTTGTCAATTAAATATAATGAAATAGTTGTAATGCTAGTAATCACACTATTACAGCAACAGTATGATTCATATTATTGACATCAATAGTCATATTATGACTATTGAGGGAGCCGGTCGGCCGAGCGGACAGCACGCTGGACTTGTGGTCCTGGGTTCGATCCCAGGCGCCGGCGAGAAACAATGGGCAGAGTTTCTTTCACCCTATGCCCCTGTTACCTAGCAGTAAAATAGGTACCTGGGTGTTAGTCAGCTGTCACGGGCTGCTTCCTGGGGGTGGAGGCCTGGTCGAGGACCGGGCCGCGGGGACACTAAAAAGCCCCGAAATCATCTCAAGATAACCTCAAGAAGACATACTAACACTAATACTGTAGTACCATATTACAACAATAGTATCTTAATGTTGATAAGATGGTGACAATATTGAAATATATGCTAATAATGAGTGATGTACATTAAATCACAAATGTTTCAACTTGGAAACTAACACCCACCGAGGGAAGACAAAGACAGAGTCACCAAGAGAGCAAAAAGCTGCAGTAATAGCATGCAACCGTGACAAGCAGTGTTGGCTGCGTGCTGTACCTGCGCACACCCACTCCCTTCCCCGGAGCTTCCTCCACCACTCTCGGGAATTGTCAGTAAAAAGCTCACAAGGAAGCATACACCATGCTTGCTGTTATTTCTTCTCTCCAGCTACCTGCATTGTTGTAGTGACGGGAGTATCATCATTCCTATTATTATTATTATTATTATTATTATTATTATTATTATTATTATTATTATTATTATTATTCAATTTTTTATTCAAAAGAATGAAGAATGTACAAAGAATATAAGAGCAATGTACAATTGTGGGGACAGGAGTTAAACATAATGAAACCACTATTATGCAAAGTGTTTTAGAGAAAATTTAGTATTATTATTATTATTACATTATTTTATATAAGTGTACATGCAAATATAGTGGAGAGAGGCACAGGGTGGACCTTAAATCATTCAATTTTCTGTGTCAAACTGCATAGGAAACATGCAGATATAACATGTCAACATCCTGCAATTATAGTTTTGACAAAAATGTGGGAAGAGCTTGTCCTTGTGAAGGGATTTGCCAGCCATGTGTATGTGACTGATAAACTTCGTAGCTTGTTCAAGGTTACTGTTTAGTGATGATGTTATGCTCACTCCCAGGTAACTTTGTAAGGCACCCTAGACATACTGTACTAGTGGTGATAACTGTGGATGTTATTGGTGATGATATTACTGGTAGTTGTAAGTGGTGATAGTGGTACAGGTAGTAGATATTTGTGGAGGTGACAACAGTAGATACTAGTGGTGATGACAACGGCAGATACTAGTGAATGGTGATGACAGCAGTGGATGAGAGTGGTGGTACAGCAGCAGATAATAGAAGTTATAACAGTGCACACCAATACTAGAGGTGATGATGACAGTAAACACTAGTGTTGATAAGACGACGGAGCAAGAGTATTAGGAGAGAAGGCCAGGTTAGAAGCTGTTGCATGATGTGAGTGTGAGGAGGGAGGCGGTGGTCAACTCCCATACCCTCTGGCAAGGGGGTTTCCCTCCCTAACAATACCGTGTTCAAATTTACCTCTGTCCTCTCGATGGCAAGGTCATCCCCCGTGTGCTTCATCTCCTTCAACTTCCATGACGATTTTTATTTGTCAGTGGTTGTTGTCTTTATCGAGTCATTTCCTCTTACATTTGGATCTTCTCAATATATATTCCACTTGTAGAATGGTTTAATTTGGTTACATGAGGCAAGGGAGAAGGGTCAACTTCTCACTTTTATTGAGGCTTTCTTGGTGAGTAGTGTTAATTTATTTTGTTATATTTTGTGGTACAGTTGGGGTCCGTTATCGACTGTCAGTTGGGGATCCCGGCCTCGATTGCCAAGCGGGACAGAAATGATTGGGCATGTTTCCTTTCACCTAATGCCTCTGTTCATGTTGCAGTCAATATGTACCTGGGAGTTACTCCTTCTTCCACCCTCCCTCCCTCCTCCTCCTCCACCTCCCTTTCCTCTTCCCTCCCCTCTTCTTCCCTCCTCCTTCCTCTTCCCTCCCTCCCTCCTCTTCCCTCCCTCCCTCCCTCCTTCCTCTTCCTCCCTCCTTCCTCTTCCTTTCCCTCCTCCTCCCCCGCCCTCCCCCCCCTCCCCACATACAAACATTGTACATAATATACAGTATATTAAGCGAGTGGAGTGGTTGATTGTTGGTGTGTGAAGGCGTGCCACAACCAGGCAGCGGTGTGTGTGTGTGTGTGTGTGTGTGTGTGTGTGTGTGTGTGTGTGTGTGTGTGTGTGTGTGTGTGTGTGTGTGTGTGCGGCTCCGTTATGTGGGGTGCCATATTCATTGTATGCTGCACCAGTTTCCCGCCATGGGTTTCGTCGACGTCTTTTGTGTGATCATCTTGTTTGAGGAGCTGTTCACTTGAGACAGTTAAGAAAGTCCCAGCTGTGTCTGGGTACAAGTGACAGAATGAACAACCCAGTGGGTTTTCTTCCTATTGGAGAGTGTTGTACATGCTGCTATGGCGGTGTGTCAACTCACAGGATGAGTGGCGCTGCCCAATAAACTCGCCTCTCGGGGCAAAATACAAAAAAAAATTAGTGTTTTGTGTGTTGCTAACCATTCCGACGCTCTGTATATTGTTCCTGGGAAAAGGGACGCATGCTGTGGCTCTGAGGTCCTCCACTTCAATTTTGGCAAAGATTTTTGATGGAATTCTAGTCATAATTTCCCATTTAATTTTAATACTTTGCAATGAATTGGCCTCCCCGACCTTTTCTTTCAACTCACTCTGTGTTAACTGCCCGTACACTCTTTACATCCCCCATGTGGCGCTGGCATGTGTGTGCTTCCAGTTTCCGGCTGTGTCACCCGTGCAATTCCTCTTATCAGGAAGAGTGTGGCCATGTCCACTTTCTCTCTCAAAACCGTGTAACATCAGAACAGTTAAACTGTAACGCAACAGGTACAGCAAGACTTGGAGGCGGGGGAATAGAGAGCTAAACGTCACCTGTAGATACTGATAGACAAGTACTGGTAGGTAAGTACTTGGCGAAGGGGAACTATCAGGGTAAAGCACCAAATATAGCACTGGGAAGGGATCAGGATAAGGCTTTGGGATGGGACGGGCGGACAGGAACAGTGCCCGACCAATTGGACGGTCGGGGATTGCATGCCAACCTGCAGGAAGCGTGACTGTCGCTCTACCGTCCAGCCCAAGTTGTTGAATAGTGTTTGCGTGACTGGTGTTGCTGTGGCGGAGTGTGTTGTGGTGTCTGGGGCATGTCTTGGTGCTGGTGCTCACGAGTGTGTGAAGCAGGAAGTGAGCGGGTGTGTGGTCAGAGGTGTCGCAAGTGTCAGAAAGTGAGTGTAAGGTAGGTGTACTCACCTATTTGTGTCTACAGGATTGAGCATGGACTCTTGGATCCCGCCTTTCGAACATCGGTTGTTTACAGCAATGACTTCGGTCCTATTTCCCTATTATACCTGGTTTTAAAATTATGAATAATATTTGCTTCTACAAATACCATGTGTGTGTGTGTGTGTGTGTGTGTGTGTGTGTGTGCGCGCGCGCGCGCGCGCGTGCGTGTGTACTCACCTAATTGTGCTTGCGGAGGTTGAGCTCTGGCTCTTTGGTCCCGCCTCTCAACTGTCAATCAACTGGTGTGTGGGTGTGTGTGTGTGTGTGTACTCACCTAGTGTGGAAATGTGTGTGTGTGTGTTTTGTGTGGAAGGAGTGAGTGAATGTTAGCCACCGCCTTAAGAAAAAGTTAAGCAATGTGTCGGAGGTAATGGCGAGATGGGCGGAGGAGGGTTCGACACAGTGAAGGAACACCTCAATCTCTCAGGCGTTCACAACGTCATTAAAACGATGTACCGAATTGCCCGAACCTAACCTAACTGTGAACCCATGAATGGAAAACGAGAGATCACGCCACAATACCCCGTACAAAGGTAGAACTAAGAGTGGGGGAGGGAGAGCAAGGGAGAGGGAGTGAGGGAGGGAAGTGTGGCAGGTGGATAAGGGAAGCATTATTGGGGGGGGGGGGGATTAGGGAAGTGTGAAGAGGGTGAGGAATTGGGGAGCAGAGGAGAGAAAGGATTAGGGAAGCGAGGTTTAAGGAAGGAGGGGGTGAACAGAGGAATGAGGGAGAGTCACGCTCTTCTACAGGGCGGAAAACAAAAGAAAACCCAAGATACACGCACACTCAAGCACTCACGCCCACGCACTCACTCACGCCCATCACGCACTCACTCACGCCCATCACGCACTCACTTACGCCCATCACGCACTCACTTACGCCCATCACGCACTCACTCACGCCCATCACGCACTCACTCACGCCCATCACGCACTCACTCACGCCCACGCCCTCAGTCATGCACTCCCAATCTCACACACCCCACCCATCCCTGCCTTCACGAGGGCCCCCCACCCATCCCTGCCTTCACGAGGGTCCCCACCCATCCCTGCCTTCACGAGGGCCCCCCACCCATCCCTGCCTTCACGAGGGCCCCCCACCCATCCCTGCCTTCACGAGGGCCCCCCACCCATCCCTGCCTTCACGAGGGCCCCCCACCCATCCCTGCCTTCACGAGGGCCCCCCACCCATCCCTGCCTTCACGAGGGCCCCCCACCCACACGAGGGCCCCCACCCACACGAGGGCCCCCTCCTACACGAGGGCCCCCACCTGCAGGAGGGGGCCCCGGCCGGTGAGAGCCGAGAGCTCCGTAGCGGGAATCTGAGGGAGTGAGGAGGGGCGGGGAGGACCAGTACCTGGCCTGCCACTCCTGCTGCCAGTTGTGTTGTAGACTGTGGTGGTGACGGACGTGACGCCTCCCGCTCCTCTGTACGGGCCCCTTGTACTCTCTCCTTCATCCTCATACACACACCCTCATACTCACCCCTCGTCCTCATACACACCCTTCATCTTAGCCCCTCGTCCTCATACACACCCTTCATCTTAGCCCCTCGTCCTCATACACACACCCTCGTCCTCATACACACCCTCGTCCTCATACACACACCCTCGTCCTCATACACACACCCTCGTCCTCATACACACTCCTCGTCCTCATACACACCCTCGTCCTCATACACACCCTCGTCCTCATACACACCCTCGTCCTCATACACACCCTCGTCCTCATACACACCCTCGTCCTCATACACACCCTCGTCCTCATACACACCCTCGTCCTCATACACACCCTCGTCCTCATACACACTCCTCGTCCTCATACACTCCTCGTCCTCATACACACCCTCGTCCTCATACACACTCCTCGTCCTCATACACACACCCTCGTCCTCATACACACCCTCGTCCTCATACACACTCCTCGTCCTCATACACACTCCTCGTCCTCATACACACTCCTCGTCCTCATACACACCCTCGTCCTCATACACACTCCTCGTCCTCATACACACACCCTCGTCCTCATACACACCCTCGTCCTCATACACACTCCTCGTCCTCATACACACTCCTCGTCCTCATACACACCCTCGTCCTCATACACACTCCTCGTCCTCATACACACACCCTCGTCCTCATACACACCCTCGTCCTCATACACACCCATTTCCTTTACCTTGCCCCCCCCCTACCCCTTTTCCTCCCCAAAACTACTCCCCAAAGTTCCATTAGTGCTGGTACTTCTCCCCAGCCTTCCCCCCTCACACACACATGTATATGACAAGTTGGGAACGTTTCGGTCCTTCTTAAAGCAATGTAAAGTGGCCATCTTGAACGAACTGAACATTGGAGACATCTCCCGTCTGGGAGGGTGCTGTCACACCTCCACAGATCTCCAGTATCAGGTCTTGATACTGGTAATGACTCAAAAGGGCGCCACCATTTACGGGCTATTCATGCCCGTGCCACCTTTTGGGGTGGCTTAATCTTCATCAATCAACGGACTGAAACGTTGTCATATGGGGGTGTGTGGGGGAGGGGGAGGGGGCTGGTGAACGTTCAGCCAGGTTGTTGTGGTGTGTTGTGGGCGACCTCGTGGCTCCCCCTATACTTCCTTTGTGTGTGTTGCTGAGAGAATGTTTCGGCCAGAAAAGCTGCGTGTGTATTATACATATACATGGACGTGTATTATATTATACATAATACATGGACACTTCCTGTTGCAATTGGGTGGTTCAGATTGTGGTATCCGGTTGGCTGACTGAAGGAATTTTGTGGTTTGATGATGTATTGGGAAGGGAAGGGTTGTATTTGATTTTAGTAGCTTGTATTAGCCTTTATTAGTATAGGACGCGTGACAGCCGAGTGGACAGCGTTTCGGATTCGTAGTCCTGAGGTACCGGGTTCGATCCCCGGCGGAGACAAATGGGCAAAAAGTTTGTGTCACCCTATTGCCCCTGTTACCTAGCAGTAAATAGGTACCTGGGAGTTAGACAGCTGTCACGGGCTGGTTCCTGGGGGATGTGTAACGAAAAATGAGGCCATGGTCGAGGACCGGGCCGCGGGGACGCTAAGCCCCGAAATCATCTCAAGATAACCTCAAGAAGATAGGCAAGCTTAGTGCCATGAAAGCACATGAGTGTTACTGTGTAGTAGTGACCATTGTTCCTGTGGTCGGTAACGGGTGAGTGACCAGTAACCGTTAGTGGCCAATGAGGGTGAGTCAGTAACGATGAGTACAAGTGTGGATGAGTAACGGTACTAGCAACGGGGATGAGGACGAGTAAGGTGGAGCAGGATATTATGAGTAAGGTGGGGCAGGAGATGATGAGTAACAGCGAGAGGAGAGAGTGAGTAAAGGGGACAAGAGCTGATGAGTAAGGTGGGGCAGGAGACACATACAAGGGTACAAGAGGAAGTGAGGCATCAAGAGGCAATAAGCAGTGAGTGTTGTCATTGTTGAAGGGCGGGGGCGGGCTGGTCTGATGGTGGCGGCGGGCTGCTGGTGATGGTAGAGGGCTGGTAGTGGCGGCGGGCTGGTCTGATGGTTGGTAGAGGGCTGGTAGTGGCGGGGGCGGGCTGGTCTGGTGGCAGCGGGGGCGGGCTGGTCTGGTGGTAGAAGGCTGGTAGTGGCGGCGGGCTGGTCTGGTGGCGGTCTGGTCTGGCGGCGGGCTGGTCTGGCGGCGGAGTGGTTCCAGCTACTCACCACAGGTTTATTTCCTAAAAAAGGCTTCCGTAGTGAAGTTGTGAACAGTGAGCAAGGAACAAGAGGTGACGTAGGCGGTGTAAGTGAAGCGACCGCCATCCCGGAACACTTATAAGTGAGCAGGCGTCACACTTCCCCGTCTCCAGGTGGACTTGGTGTTAGTGAAGAGCTGTGCACGGGACACAAGGCTCCTCTCTCACCCCTGCACCTGCACCAGCTCCAATAATCTCCCAGCAAGGGCGTCGCCGTCCACCTGGTACTTGATACAGGTGAGTATCGACGTGGTTGTGGCCCTATGCCCCTGTTACCTAGCAGTAAAATAGGTACCTGTGTGTTAGTCAGCTGTCACGGGCTGCTTCCTGGGGGTGGAGGCCTGGTCGAGGACCGGGCCGCGGGGACACTAAAAGCCCCGAAATCATCTCAAGATAATCTCAAGAGTGGGATTGGGTGGTTATAAATAGGAGCTGCCTCGTATGGGCCAATAGGCCTTCTGCAGTTACCTTTGTCCTTATGACACGCTGTCAATTCTCCCGGGGGCCGCACCTGGGGTAGAGACCTTATTTAAGAGTATTAAAATAAGTCTGCAATTCGTTTAGCCAATTGTATGAGGTATTTAAGTGTGCATTAGTGAGTGTGTGTGTGTGTACTCACGTATTTGTGCTTGCGGGGGTTGAGCTCTGGTTCTTTGGTCCCGCCTCTTAACTGTCAGTCAACTGGTGTACAGGTTCCTGAGCCTACTGGGCTCTTATCATATCTACACTTGAAACTGTGTATGGAGTCAGCCTCCACCACATCACTGCCTAATGCATTCCATTTGTCAAGTGGACACACACACACACACACACACACACACACACACACACACACACACACACACACACACACACACACACACACACGCGCGTGTGTGTGTGTGTGTGTGTGTGTGATACTTTTTATATATGTGCATTGGCCCTTTTGTCCTTGTATTGAAGGACAGATATTTGTGACTCACTGATCTTGTCATGGGTTTCCATGCACCCACCTTACTCCCCCAGGACCCACCTTACTCCCCCAGGACCCACCTTACTCCCCCAGGACCCACCTTACTCCCCCAGGACCCACCTTACTCCCCCAGGACCCACCTTACTCCCCCAGGACCCACCTTACTCCCCCAGGACCCACCTTACCGTGAGGGAGAGTGTGGAGGGGGAGGGAGAAGCCAAGAAAGACTAAAAGTCTGGGGGATAGTGTGTGAGCCAGAGAGGTTACACACACCCAGTAATTATTATGTTAATAATGCCTTCGTGGGAATGACACCTGGAATGAGGATCACTGTATATGGGGCAGAGCCAAGTGTTACGTATCTTCTCTCTCTCTCCCTCCTCTCTCTCTCTGTATCTCTCTCTCTCTCTCTCTCTCTCTCTCTCTCTCTCTCTCTCTCTCTCTCTCTCTCTCTCTCTCTCTCTCTCTCTCTCTCTCTCTCTCTCTCTCTCCTCTCCTCTCCCTGTTACAAGTGTCAGGAATGTGATAGGATTATTGGCAGCTGTCTTTATAGTACTGTTGGTGGTGGTTGTGGTAGTACTGGTGGTGGTGGTGGCGGTGGTGGTGCCGAGGGTGAAAGTTAGTGTGGCACAATAACACATGTGACAAGAGGCACCTCCTCTATAGCAGAACTCTCACTCCTAGCACACCTTGTAGCCCACTCCGCCACCACCACCCTCCTCCTTCTCCTCAACCCTCTTGACTTACTCGGCTGGTGTTTCCTCTAAGCATTCTCTCGTGTGTGTGTGTGTGTGTGTGTGTGTGTGTGTGTGTGTGTGTGTGTGTGTGTGTGTGTGTGTGTGTGTGTGCACTTATCTAGTTGTGCTTGCGGGGGTTGAGCTCTGGCTCTTTGGCCAGTGTGTGTGTGTGTGTGTGTGTTTGTGTGTGTGTGTGTGTGTGTGTGTGTGTGTGTGTGTGTGTGTGTGTGTGTGTGTGTGTGTGTGTGTGTGTGTTGGTGGGGGGGGGTCTATGCTGGTCTGCCAGGGAAAAGTGCGCGGTTGGTGTGTTACGTGTAATTACCTAAGTGTAATTACCTAAGTGTAGTTACAGGATGAGAGCTATGCTCGTGGTGTCCCGTCTTCCCAGCACTCTCTGTTGTATAACACTTTGAAAGTACTGACGGTTTTGGCCTCCACCACCTTCTCACTTTACTTGTTTCAACAGTCTGTTACTGTTTGCGGAAGTGAATTTCTTATATGTCTTCGACAGCTTTGCTTAGATAGTTTAGTCTATGACCTCTTCTTCTTGAAGTTCCAGGTCTCAGGAATTCTGCTCTATCAATTTTGTCGATTCCTGTTGCTATTTTGTATGTAGTGATCATATCACCTCTTTGTCTTCTATCTTCTAGTTTTGGCATATTTATTGCCTCTAATCTCTCCTCGTAGCTCTTGCCCTTCAGGTCTGGGAGCCAGTTAGTGGCATGTCTTTGTACCTTTTCCAGTTTGTTGATGTGCTTCTTAAGATATGGGCACCACACAACCGCTGCATATTCTAGCTTTGGCCTAACAAAAGTCGTGAACAATTTCTTTACTATTTCACCATCCATGTATGTAAAAGCAATTCTGAAATTGGAAAATGTAGTACAGGCCCCTCGCAAAAATGTTCTCTATGGGGTTCTCAGGTGATAGTTTTCTATTTAGAACCACCCTAGATCTCCCTCTCTCTATCAGATTTATTTAAAGAGTTCTCACATAATTGAAATTGAAATAAGTTTATTGAGGTAAAATACACACAAAGGGATGAGGTAGCTCAAGCTATTCTCACCCCGTTCAATACATCGTGTTAATACATACATAGACACACATCACAAACAATAAACATATTACCGAACATTCTGAGAGATAAACATATACATTTCCTTTCACATAATTTGTAGGTTAAGTGTAGTGTATGTTGTGTTCCACATTCCATAACATGGCATGTGTTCACGTTAAACTCCATATGCCAATTGGTGTTCCATACTCTTATTTTGTCCAGGTCTTCTTGAAGGGCGAGACATTCATCTATGTTTCTTATCTTCCCCCTTGTATTGTGGCATCATTAGCAACATGTTGTGGTGTGTTGGGGTGTGTTGGGGGTGATGTGATGTGTGTAGAGTTGTGTGGTGTGGTGTGTGTGTGTGTTGTGTGGTGTTGTGATGTGATGTGTGTAGAGTTGTGTGGTGTGTGTGTTGTGGTGTGATGTGTTGGGGTGTGTTGGGGGTGATGTGATGTGTGTAGAGTTGTGTGGTGTGGTGTGTGTGTGTGTTGTGTGGTGTTGTGATGTGATGTGTGTAGAGTTGTGTGGTGGGTGTGTGTGTGTTGTGTGATGGGTGTGTGTGTTGTGTGGTGTTGTGATGTGTTGTGATGTGATGTGTGTAGAGTTGTGTGGTGGGTGTGTGTGGTGTTGTGATGTGTTGGGATGTGTGTAGAGTTGTTTACTTACCTAATTGTACTTACCTAATTGTGCTTGCGGGGGGGGGGGGTGAGCTCTGGCTCTTTGGTCCCGCCTCTCAACCGTCAATCAACAGGTATACAGGTTCCTGAGCTGTGTGGTGTGGTGGTGTGATGTGTTGTGGTGTGATGTGATGTGTGTAGAGTTGTATGGTTAGTGTTGATGCATCTTGAGCAACTTGGTGTAAGATGGGGCCGGGGCGTGGAACAGGTGTGTAAGATGGGACCAGGTCAGGGGGACAAATGTGTAAGGAGCCGGGACAGGGGACAGATGCCCAAGATAGGGCTAGGAGACGCAGGCAGGTGTGTAAGGAACCATTTACGCCTCAGGCTCAGACCTTGACCATTGTCTTCAAAAGTCACGCTGTACAATGACTTATAAATTTCCTAATGTTACGGGGGTAGAAATAGCCTAAGCTACTCTATCCCTTTGAGATGTATTTCTTGCTTATCTCAATAAACATACTTGAACTTGATTCTTAATGTTATATGTAAGACACAAAGTTCATAGCGACAGCCACTATTATTCTTGGCGAGAAAGTGAGTATCGTCCACTGCTGTATTTTTAGTATAGATTTGTTTGTTGTATAAAACGATTTGTTTTTGATGAAGGTTGTGGTTCGTCGCAAGGTGTGGAGGAGGGGGGGGGGTAGCGCCCCCCACACACCAGGGGGCCCTATACAAGGTGTGGAGGAGGGGGGGGGGGGGGGGTAGCGCCCCCCACACACCAGGGGGCCCTATACAAGGTGTGGAGGGGGGGGGGGGGTAGCGCCCCCACACACCAGGGGGGCTCTATACAAGGTGTGGAGGGGGGGGGGGGGTCGCGCCCCCACACACCAGGGGGCCCTATACAAGGTGTGGAGGGGGGGGGGTAGCGCCCCCACACACCAGGGGGCCCTATACAAGGTGTGGAGGAGGGGGGGGGGTAGCGCCCCCCACACACCAGGGGGCCCTATACAAGGTGTGGAGGGGGGGGGGTAGCGCCCCCACACACCAGGGGGCCCTATACAAGGTGTGGAGGAGGGGGGGGGGTAGCGCCCCCACACACCAGGGGGCCCTATACAAGGTGTGGAGGAGGGGGGGGGGGTAGCGCCCCCCACACACCAGGGGGCCCTATACAAGGTGTGGAGGAGGGGGGGGGGTAGCGCCCCCCACACACCAGGGGGCCCTATACAAGGTGTGGAGGGGGGGGGGTAGCGCCCCCACACACCAGGGGGGCTCTATACAAGGTGTGGAGGGGGGGGGGGTAGCGCCCCCACACACCAGGGGGCCCTATACAAGGTGTGGAGGGGGGGGGGGTAGCGCCCCCACACACCAGGGGGCCCTATACAAGGTGTGGAGGAGGGGGGGGGTAGCGCCCCCCACACACCAGGGGGCCCTATACAAGGTGTGGAGGGGGGGGGTAGCGCCCCCACACACCAGGGGGCCCTATACAAGGTGTGGAGGAGGGGGGGGGGTAGCGCCCCCCACACACCAGGGGGCCCTATACAAGGTGTGGAGGGGGGGGTAGCGCCCCCACACACCAGGGGGCCCTATACAAGGTGTGGAGGGGGGGGGGTAGCGCCCCCACACACAAGGGGGGCCCTACACAAGGTGTGGAGGGGGAGGGGTAGCGCCCCCCCCATACCAGGGGGACCCTAGACAAAGACAGGGTCTGGGGGGGGGAGGGAGGGGGGGGGGCTCGCTGACCTTCAAGCTCACCTTTGACCTTGTAAGTCTCTCTAGACAATATTGTGAATTGTCAAAAACAACATTTTATGTCATTATGTTTGATAACAAGCCAATTTACCAGGTGTCTTTGTTGACCTTTGTTT